GAAGTACGATCTGTTGAAATTGATTTCAGAGGGATAAATGGCATGGTTTTTAAAAAAAATGGTAACTAGGAATTTTCGATAGGTAAACTGAATATGGCTTGAAATATTTACTGTATTTTACTTTTATTAACAGGTCATTGTCAAAGCGTAGTTTACGCACGATTACCGTGGTCTATGCATTCACAAAATATTCATGGCAGTCAATATCCACGCTGTATCATGTAAAAACGATCACCAGTATTTGTTGAGCAATGATCAAAGACCAAGTTTTAAATTAGTGGCATTTTGTGACCCCGAATATAAAAATTGCGCAAAAGTGGGTGGTGTGGGCGCTTAACCGAGCATGGACACTAACGCGGCCCAGTACAGTAATATAAATTCAAAATCACGAAAATGCCTAACACTGAAAACTAATAGGTTTACAGTATTACAATACTCCTAAGTTAAAACAGCTAATGTAAGCACAAACAAGTTTGCTATGATGACAGTACCCAAACCGTACGATTTATTTGCATCATAAGCATTTGCCAATAATACATTTACAATACAAGCAAGGGTCAAAATAAGATTAATTTAAAGCTGGTTCTCAATTTTATTTATTTATTTACATACAGCATAGATTATGTATGTAAAGATGGATGAAGTATAAAGAGAAGACGACCACCATGATTCACTGACTGATTTACTGTGTACAGACTTTATCTCAGTTTGAACAGCTGTAGACACGTGTCTCAATGTACAGACCGCAGTATTAGAAACACAGCTACAACAACTACTGTAATCTCAATTTCAACTGAAATCTCCAGATGACTGGTGTAGTTGCCAGATCATCTTTCTGTGTTTTGACAAGCCTCAATAATAGGGTAAATTGTTCAAATACTGGCAGTCTCCCTTTATTTGTATCCATTACACATTTACAGGAAGTTATCAACATTGACAGTGCGACCTAATCTGACCTTTTCAACTCAAGTTCATGACCTCATCCGGCATTGATGGAAACAACAATAGTGTTCTTGACAGTTGTTGAGAAGTGTTAACATATATTATAGTATAGTCATCCGAATTTCAAATTGATTCAAAGAAATCTGGCGACTGCAATAACATCTCAACACTAATTTAGTCTACTGTACACATTTCAGCAAATAAAGCAATTACCCATTACATCAACTGATTGCCACCATTTAGTAGCACATTTTGTTTTCAATATTTATGTTCAGACTTCAAAAAAAAAACAGTCATGCATGTTCTTTTAATGACGTATAAAAAATATAAACAAACTTCTCTTTTTCCCCCCGGAAAAGAAAGTAACTCCATAATTATTGGTTATACGATTACATGTCCCATGTCTATGTAATTACTTCCTTTATTTTCCAACATGCTACACTGGAAAGCCATGTATGTTATGGAATGAAGGTGGTGGTACTGACTAAGACAATTCATAGTTTCCCCAAGCATGGCGACTAATTTGCATAACAATAGTATCTAGTTTGCATTCTCTACCAATTTTTACAATAATATATTAAATACTCTCTATTGTTTTTGGTAAGGCATGCTTAAAAAAACTGAGGAGAACACGAGAATAAACACGCGATAGTTGACTCCAGTGTAAATTAAATTTCACCAAAAGAAATTATAACAAAAACACATGTATTTTAGCATACAGGCAACAACCATTTTTTTGAGGGGAAAAAAAGGAGCATAATCTTGCTTGGGATGAATAAATAAGAGTTCCGCCTCTCAAGAATGTCCATGCAGACCTAATTAAAATACCACTCTGTGGTTCTTATGCATAGTTTCCTGGGGCAGTGTGTCCGACATAGACTCTTTTCAGTCTGCCTGCAGTATCAGGCCATGCTTTGAATTTCTTTCCTGGCAGTGTACTCACCTTTTTCTTGCTACAATAGATTTGCCACTTCTTCTCAGCTGGTAAATTGAACATAGCCTCCCTGTGGACAGCTGATAAGTCAAGTTCATCCTGTTAAAAGAAAACCAATTTCATTACGTTTTGCAAGTCAGGATTAAACCTCTTTCTATGATTTGTTACCACCATTGCTGGGGAGTATAAAACTATGTCATGCAGGTGCTACAACTTTACAATACAGTGCAAAGATTACTTTATTGTAGACGAAAACTGCATTTCAAGGAGACAGATGATAAAGAAAAAGTATTCCATCTAGATTGCAGTGCCATATTTATCTGAAAGATCACTCTTTGCAAAAGAAACAAAACTTCTTTTTTTTTTTAAATAACAATTTCTGTGCTAGGTTTTGTATAAAAAATTTGGGAGTGAATTAAAAGGATATAATTTTATGTCTTTTTTAAACACATCAAATAGAATAACTTTATTTATTTTTTTTCAAATTGATTCAGATGCATGAATTGGTATTCAGTGAATTATTAGTTTTTAAGGTACCAAGTGTAGATCAAACTAATGTATGAGAAGGTTTATCTGTGTTGACGTCGGCGTGAATGTGAAAAACTTTGATTGCACAAAACAGTGTTGAGAAAAAAGTGCCAAAACACCGCCCGGACGATTGTTTGATTTTGGTGATCTCCAAAAAATATCCATGGTGATCTTTCAGATAAATTCGGTATTACTGATTTATCCCTACACCGAAAATAAATTTTAGAGAAGCTAAGGAACTATACAGTATGCTGCCATTATACTGAATTGAAAACTTGAAATTGAAAACAAATTTCACGAAAGTCACTGTGACTCGCTGTCTTAGAGATCCCAATAAAATGTTTTGGGTTAAATAATTCTGAGGTTTTCCCTGACTCAATAAAATGTGTCTTCGGTAAGTTTAAAACTCCCCATATAAACTTTATTTTCAATCAGACATGCATTCATTCCAAGAAAAGCTTGTACCGGATTCTGCCGTAAATTCGCCCATTCGAAAAATCGCCCTGGGATTCAAAATTAAAAAAATAATCATCAAATATTTTTTGGGGACTTTTTTTTTTCATTGAAAAATCCAACTACGCCGACTTTCAACGCCGACAGTTAAATTAATTTGTTAAATTGTTATGGAATGCAAATAAAATTCAACTTAGTTTCATCGTACGCAAATGATTCCAGTCGCATATAAACGCTTGAGGCTGTAGGGTATTCGCCATGTTCTTTCTCTTGGACGAGTTGACCTAATAGGTCAAATCGCTGATTAACCAATCAAAACACTGGATTATGTCAACGTGTTCAAATTACCATACCTCATTTAAATATGATAATGTTATTGAACTGCCAAAAAATCAATTTATTTTATTTTTTAAATCCGAACTGTCGTTTAACGGCCCAGGGTAAATATTAATTATATACCATATTTGCTCTAAATCAGTTAGATTTTATTGATCCAGCATGCATGTATGTACATAATGAAATGTCTGGCTTATGTTCACTTAATTTGATATGCACTTCTAATAGAGCAAACACGGCAATGGGTAATCCATATTGTACTGCATATG